GCCCTCTCAGCCCTCCGCCCCTCAGTCCTTCCCCAGGCTGTCCCCTCTGCACCTGCCTCACCATCCCTCAGCCTGCTCTACATGCTCACCGTGCCCTCTCAGCCCTCTGTCCCTCAGTCCTTCCTCAGGCTGTCCCCTCTGCACTGACTCCACTGTTCTTCCTGCCCTCCACCCCTTGGTGAATCAGCTCACCTCCCTGTGCTCTCTGCTCCAATCCCTTGCCCCCATATCCTACTACTCATCCAACCTTGGATGGCTCCCCCCATCTGCCACCTTCTGTCCTATTCATGGACTGTTGAATGGAGCTGGAGAAGAAATGAAAACCGAGGGGACCAGGTCTGCCACCGATTTCTGTGACATCATTTCGGCCAGGCCCTCACCGCCTGGAAGCGAGCCCCTTACCCCTTCCCTCTCACCACACCAGTGATTCCAAGCCCTTTCATCCCTCTCAAGCTCCCTTCGGCCGAGATGCTTCACTGAAGAAGGCCCAGACCCCTCCGCCACATCTCCTGTCACTCACACGCCTTCCTCCGCTCTCTTCTTTCACCCCGTCTCTTGTGACGAGGTGACCCTTCTCCTCGGTCGCATCCTGTCTTCTCTAGTGCAGTGCCCCTCTCATCCCCACTCCCTCTAATCTTCCGTCTCTCCCTGAATGCTGGCTGCGTGTCCATGTCTTTCCCAGCCTCTCCAAAGCCTTGCTTGACTCCACCTTCCCTGCTACCTACCATCCTCTACCTCTCCTCCCCTTCCTGGCCAGACTCCTGGCCTCTCCAGCTCCCGTCATGCCATTTGATGTCCTCTGCAAGCTGCCTCCACCCTCTCCATGCCACCGAAACTTCTCTAAAATTGCCAACTATCTCTTAATGGCCAAATCGAATGGTCTTTTCTCGGTCCTCAGCTTCTCTGACCTCTCTAAGTGAGGCCTCTGACACTGCTCATCACCAGCTTTCCCTACAGATTCTCAGCCTCAGCTGTCAGGATGCTGCTTCCTCCTGCTTCTCCCACCTGTCCAACAGCTCCTTCTCAATTCCTTTTGGGGTCCCTCCCCCACTGCTGGTCCTTCCCTCGGAGATCAGCCTCTGTCCACTCTGTCTATATCTCGTACACACAGTTGTTGGCATGTGGACTACCCCGTTAGACTGGAAGCTCCCCGAGGGGTAGAACGGTGCCCAGCACAAAGGAAGTGCTTGCTTGTCAGCTAACTGAGAACCAGAGGGGCTAAGTCTGAATTAGCTGTAAAGCTTCCTATTCATGTTTCCTTAAAACAACACAGAAAAAACCCCACGGTAACTGTAAGAGAATTACAAGTGTTTGTGCCACAAGGAGGCAGTGTGGGGCAGGAGAACGGACCGTCTCTGGCAGACTGTTTCACCTGCAGAGAGACCTTGGCCAAGTCCCAGACCCTCTCTAGGACTCAGTTCCCACTCTGAGGCAGGGATGCCCCCAGGATTGCTGAGGTTCTTCCTGGCCAGCTCTGGGTCTGCTCCAACAGGCAGGGTGTGTCTCCTTACTGTCCCTTTATCAACAATGCCTCGTGCGGGGCAGGTGCCTCATCCATGCCTGCTGATGAACAAAAATGTAGCTGAGAGGAAGGAACGCCGGCCTTGGAGCTGAGAGATCCAGGGTCACATCCCAGCTCCATCACCTGGTAGCTCTGACCCAACTTGAGCAAACCATTCATTAGCCCTCTCAGTTTGCCCGTCTGTAAAATGGACATGACTTGTGCTCCCTAACTCACAGGAGGGGGTGAGGGGTGGCTGGAGCCATGTAAGTGTCCTCCCCGGGGACCCTGCGTGTCCTCAGTACAGACTGTCAGGGCCGAGGGCTCCTCCTGGGCTGGCAGGGCCCCCCACTGCCCCATTCCCAGCAAGGGGGCCTGGTCCACTCTGGGAACAGCTGGAAGAGGGGTGGAGGTTTTCTGGGCAGCAAACTGAAATGCGTCTCCTTGTGCCTCCAGGGTTAACGGACATGCATACACACACATTCTCTGAGAACACACTTGGGGGAGGGGGGCATTCTGTGACTTCATCAGTGCAAAGGACACCAGTGAGAGAACTCCTGCCTTCCTTCATGACTGAGCTCAACACACCCCCTGCCCCGGGCCCTTCCTGGTTCCCCCCTCCTCTCTAATAAGTTTTGCAAAGTGCTTTACAAATATGTCATCTGACCCTCACAACCCTGGGGCCAGGTGCTGTTATTATCCCTATTCTACAGATGAGGAAAGTGAGGCTGAGAGGTTAAGTGACTTGCTCATGCTGAGGGTGACTGGGGCAGAATTTGAACTCGAGCCTCCTTGACTCCAGCTCCAAGGCTCTATCCGCTGCCACCTCGAGGTCTGGCCTGCTAACTCTCTAAGGTTACCATCCATGTATTCTATACACAGCTCCTAGGTAGGTTCTGATTTATCCATGCGGTCTCCTCCATTAGAATGGGAGCTTTCTGAGGGCAGAGAAAGTGTTACTGTGCCCCCAGTGCACAGCACAGTGCTCTGAGTGCTGAATAAATGCTCCATTGATTTACCTGCAACTCGGGGGCAATGCAGTCTGAGGGAGGGTAAAGGAGCCTACGCAGGGCCCCAGGGCCAGGCCGGCGCAGAGCTGGCTCAAGCCCAAAGCCTCCTCCCTCCAGCCCCACACCTGCTCTCGGCACCTTCCTGGTCTGGGAGGCCTGCGCTGCATTCTCCTTCTGGGCCCAAATCACTGGGCTGGCATTAACTGCCTCATAAAAAATACAGGAGCAGCGCACTTGAATTCATCCTTAGAACATGCAGCCTCAGTGCCCTCCCAGCCCAATGTCCACAGTGCGCTTCCCTGGGAGCAAGCCCAGCAGGCGGACATAATGGGTGCTAGCTTCCCCATTTTCCAGATGAGAGAGCTGAGGCCAAGCGGTGGTGACTCGCCTCGGTCACCATGAGTGCCCCAGCCAGCCTTGAGACCTCGCCTTCTGACTCCGAGCTCGACCCTCCATCACACTAATTTTATGCAGCAAATTCATTCTCCTAATTATGTGCAGGAATAAAATTAATTTTCAGACGGCCCTAATATCAACAATTAGTGAAGCGCCTAGTCACCAAAAAGTGAGGAAGAGGTGGTCTTAGGTCTGCCCAGCCTAGGTTGGGCATCCAGGAATCCAGCCAGGCCGAGGGTACAGCCTAGCACTCCCTCCCATCCCCAGCCCCCAGCCTTCCCACTGCTCTGACTCCAAGACTGCCTCCTCCAGGCTGCCAGGCATCCTCCCAGCCTCAGACCTTGGCCCGTGGGCTCCTCCAGGCCCTAGGAGAGCTCGGCCCCCTCCCCACCGTTTCACACCAGCTCCCAGGCCTACCCTACATCTCTAACTGCCTCCGCTAGCTGTGACTCACCACGCTGACGCAAGCCTGTCTTCCTCTTGCTCTAACGGGGCAGCGGCCTTTGCAGATCTCCCATCTCTCCTGATGGCGCCCTGCACTGCCCATTCGCAGGCTCCAAACCTGACACAGCTCAGACTCATCCCTTTCTCTCCATAGCCAAGTCCAATCAAGGCATCTCTCGTGGCCACTCCCTTCTTGGGCACCCCCACAGCCTTTGGTTAGATCCACAGCCCCATCCCCTCTCGCTTGGCCTACTGTACCAGCCTTCTAACCGGCCTCCCCTTCTTTCTCCCTCCACCCCTCCAAGACCAGCTGCCAGAGCCCCGTTTCCAAAATGCAGTTCTGGTTATGCCCCTACCCTACTGACACCCCTCACGGCCCAAAGGAGAACATCCCCACTTCTTAGTCTGCTATTCAAAGCCCTCTGTGGTCTAGCATGCGGTCAAGGGAATGGCCCAGCCTGGGAGCCAGGAAGGATAGTGCTAGACCAGACTTTGCCGCAGACTCAGCATCGCCTAGGTCCAACTCTTTTCCCTTCCAGGGTCTCAATCTTCCCTCATCTGTAAAAGGAAGGCCCCAAGGTGCTGCCTGTGACACCATGAGACCTTTTCCAACATGGCTTCAGACGACGCGCTACTCCCTCACATGCAATGTCCCAACCCTGTTTTCCTACCATCTCCTGTGCCTCCCATCCAATGCCCGGCACATAGTAGGCACTTACAAGCCAATGAACGTTTATATGTCACCTTCTGTGGACGAGGCACCATGTTACTCAACAACTCACTTATAATCTAAATGGTACACATGTATCACGGGCCTTACCCATAGTAGGTATTAAATAAATGTGTGCTGGATTAATTTGAGGAATGTCCTTGGTCAGAAACTCAACCTCCAATCACAGCAGAGTTCCCCATGGGAAAATACTGCCTCTTGGCTAGGACCTAGGTCACATCTTCCCCGAGCTGTGACACCCCAGGCTTCAGGGCACCACAGGATGGCAGAGGTGGGGGGCCCACATCTTGCTTCTCCTCTGGTGATGAGTGGATACATTTAGGGTTGGTGGCCAGAGGGAGGGCTGGCGGACTGTCCAGCAGTGGCAGCCTGGGGCAGTTCGTGTGGACTCAGAGGGGGAAGGACAGACCCGGAAACAGAAGCAGGGAAAGGTGTTGCACTTACTGATGGATGGCCTGAAGGAACTTACGCTGGTGTTTCCGAACTCGGGCATGGTCGGGCTTCCTCACCAGCTTGGTGTGTTTGTAAATGAGCCACGTTTCCCTGAGTACGTTGGCGGCAGCATTTTTGACCTGGGTCGGAGCGAGACACACAAGAAACCAATGATGAGCCAGGCCCCCGTGTGCCTGGGCACAAGGGCACGTCGCTGGGATTCCTGCTGCCCACGTGTGCCCCCTTTCCCCTAATCAGATCCTCTTCTAGGAATCTTTAGATGGAGGATTCTGACCACAGATGAGGGCACAGAAGCCCATCTCTCTGCACATCTGTGTGTGCCTGGGACACCCCCATGAGCCCGGGGGCAGCTGCAGACAGAGGTGAAGGGAGGACGAGGCCTCTGCGCCTGGCAGTGCCAGCAGGCATACGCCGCTCGCAGAGGGGCAGACACTCACCCGTTTGGTGAGCTGAGTGTCCATCATGAAGTTGTGAACATGCTTCTCTGCTTTGGTGAGCTCCAGCTTCCGGGCCACCACCGCCACCACCAGCGCCGTGCAGCCAGCGCCCTGGGGAGGGGGTTAAGGTGAGGCAGTGACACAGAGGGCGAGAGAAGGGGTCCTTCTCTCTTCAGCCCCCTCCCCCTTCCTGGATAAACCCCAGGGCTCCAATCTCTCCTTCTGTTGTCCCTGTCAATGCTAACAGATGCAGCGTGGGGCCTGCTCACTCTAGCACTCAGATTCCCTCGGGTAGGCAGGGCACAGGCTCCTCCCAAGAAGCCCAAAGCAGGGATGGGGTAGGAGATAACTGCATCTTCTCCCCACCTAGGGCAGGGTCCCCTTACCATGATGCCTGTGAGGAGACACACGCCCTTCCCGCAGTAGGTGTGGGGCACCATGTCCCCATAGCCAATGGACAGAAAGGTGATGGAGATCAGCCACATGGCCCCCAGGAAACTGCTGGTCACCTCCTGTTTGTCGTGGTACCTAGAAGGAAGGGAAGGTTGAGGTCAGGGAAAACGCACGGCCGTTTCTTCCTGCTCAGTCAGCTGCCAAAACAGGAGCTCCAGGCATGGGGCTACCCGCTCTCCTCAGCCCCTGCCTAGAGGACAGGCGGCTCTAAAGCAGCCCAGAGTAGACCACAAGGCAGGAAGGACTGTGGTCTGCCCCGAAGGAGGCTCTGAAAACACAAGATTTTATATGGGCCCCAGACAGACAGGGCTCAGCTTCAGTGGAAGGAAGAGGGGTCAGAGCTCTCTTCCAGCCCCTGGGAATCCAATTCTCCCCCACCCCCCCACACTACCTGCTGGGTTGGGAGAGGGCTTTTACTGGTCCCCCTCCCCTAGCCCAGGAGGCAGAAAAAGACTGAAACACACACCCAAGAGACAAAATGAGACACAGACAGTCAGCAAGAGACACTGGCACGGCAGCAGGCACCATAAGCTGCAGCAGGGAGAGGAGATCCGGGCCAGACACAAGGAAGTACTTTCCAGCAAGTGGGAAAGCTACAAGGAATGACCCAAAACATGAGGAGGTGGGGGAGGATTTCTCCCATCCAGGTGAGAGGGACAAGGGGACAGGCCTGAGTTAATCTTGAGACTGTCTGCAGTGTCTAACTGTTCCCTTTGCCCTCTGATGAGAAAGGGAGGGAAGACAGGGAACATTACCTCTATTTTATGGGTGGGAAAACTGAGGCTCCAAGAGGGGAAAGGACTTGTCCACATCATACAGTCAGTGGTAGAACAGTGGCCATAACCTGGCTCTCCTGATGCCTAGCCTACTTTGAGGGAGAGGGAGACAGAAGAAAGCCTGGGATTTATTTGTGTGTGTGTGGGGGGTGGGGGGGGATCAGGAGGGGAAAGGGAGGTAGAGAACTGACCCAGGAATCTCAGAGTGATAAGCTTGTGGGTATTAGGGTAAAGTAGTGGAGGGTAGGAAGGACGTTTCCAGGGTCTACCCTGGGTTCAAGCACACTGTCCCCCCTCACCCTCAAAGGTGGCCACAGGACCCTGTAAGAATGTTGATAATGAGGGGCTGAGTGAGAGCTCCTGGCTTTCGTGAAAGTCCTTCCCCTCTCCACCCCCTCACTGGGACCTGTGAGCCAGAGAGTAGCCACGATACCGGGCAAAGACTCTCCATCTTGGGTCATCCTAGACCCCTCCCCCCAATCCTGACTAACCCCTGCCTGCTCCACCCTGGTAGGGCACCTCCAAAAGGGCCGAGGTGTCTGGTGACACTACGAGGGCCAAGAAAGCCCCTCAGGAAGGGCACAGACAGGGGGCCATGCGGGGCCAAAGGGACACATCCACAGAGGAGATACAGGCAGCTTGAAGCAAGCTGGGCTGAGAATTTAGGATCGGCCGCTTCTCCCCCCAACACACATGCATTCCCCAGGCTCCTCAGGGACCAGGGAGGCTGAGGCAAGAAGTGACCCTTGAAGGGAGTAGCTTGGAACCTCAGAGACAGGGTGGCAGTGAGTGCTAGGACCTGCCCTGCCCCCCACCCCACACACCCAGAAGGCCCGAGGGCTTGGCTCTGCCCCCTGCTGAACAGGCAGCCTGGACTTGGGTAGGGGGTCCAGCTTAGGGATCTTTGATCCCTCTCCACCTCCAAAGGCCAGTAGAGGCCCCACTGCCCCAGAGTCAGGGCCTGCTGTCTTGTGAGCCTGGGGAGGATGTGAAGGGATAGAACAGCTCCAGGGATGGGACGTGCCTTAGGGAGTGAGCTGTCCAAGCCCTCCCTGAGCAGGCATCACCTTTAAGGCGTCTTACATCTACTCTAGGGCAGTCTCCGCTCCAGCAAGGAGGCAGCCCAGCCCAGGGCACTATGGGGCTACTCTGCTACAGTCTTTCCTCATATGATGCCTCAGGTCGTGTCTGCTAAGTTCACCCTCCTAGCTGTGCCCTCTGAGGCCAAGCAGGACAAGCCTCGTCCCTTCCTTAGCTTGGAGGGGACTGGAGGCAGAGGGGAGGAGAAGGGACTCTGGGAAGGTCCCCAGACCCCGAGAGAACAGCTGCAGGAGGTCTCTATCCCCTCCGAAGCTCCCTGCAGATCCCTCAAGGCCCAGCTGGAAGCCCTGCCTCCCGCATACTCACACTTCTCTCTCCTGAGCCTAGAGGTAACTTGGGGAAGATGTCACTCATCTTCACATCCCTGTCCTGCTGCCATGGGGCAAGCAGAAGAAACTCACTATTGTTTGCTCCCAGAGAGTGGCACCAGACCTCATGCGGGCCAGTTATGGGGAGGGCAACAGGGAGGACTCCCTCACCGCCAGGGCTGCTCCAGTGGTATGAGCTATGAAGGGAGGCAGAGAGTACCCCAGCCCCAGAGGTATGCAAGCAGAGGCTGGATATCCACTGCAAGGTAATTCTCATACTTGGAAGATGGACTAGAGTTTCTATGAGACCTCTTTTCAGCTCCAAGGAGCCAGAATCCTAAAGTTTTAGGACGCCCTTCTATGAAGTCACAGGGGTATCATTTGGAGCAGGGTGGGACCTCAAAAACCAGCCAGCAGAGCCAGATGGCGACCCCAGGACACCAAGTGTGTGGCAGAGCGAGGTTCTCCTGACTCCCAAAGCGGCGTGAGGCAGCCTCTCCCTGGGACGCTGGCCAACCCCACCCGACTTGATTCTGAATCATTCTGGTCCCCCTCCCTGCCAAGTCTTACGTCCTCACCTACACTTGAAGCTCTGTGGGCAGGAATGGATCGATGAGCTTCACCTCGCCAGGGGAAGGTGGGACTCCTGGTGGGGCGGGGGGAGGGTCTGTGTGCTGGCCTTAGGTCTTTCTCCCAGCACTAAGGTAACATCCCTGACCAGGGCTGGGAAGAAGACAGGAGGGGGCTGGCCCTGACGGCTAGAGGGCATCCTGACCCCAGGGCTCCCTTCTTCCTCTCAAGCTCAGGTTGGAGAAATGATGCCCCCATATCACAGATGGGAATGGAAAGGGGGTGGAAGACGGGCTGATACCCGAGAGACCCCATTGGAGCTGGGCTGTGGTAGATCCTGGGTCTCAGACACATCTCCCAGGGCATTGGTTCCAACCTTTCAAGGTTCATACTCCCTGGCCTCACTGCCCCCCCCAGAGAGCCTCTTCCCGCCGGCCCCCTCCCTTAGCCCACCCTCCTCCAGTCACAGCAGCTAATCATAAATTCTGACGGGCATGAGTCAGGGAAGGGGGGGAGCAGAACAGCTCTGTGCCAGGGAGGCCAACTCACATTTTTTCCCTACCAGATGACGGAGCAAGGGGAGGGAAGAGGAGAGGTGGTTAAATGAAGCATCTGCCTACCCTCTGGGGAGATAGAGAGAGAGGGGAGAGGGGGCTGGGAAGCCAGAGACCCACACCATCCACCATGTTGCCAAGGCTCCTTGCCCCAGGTAACAAGCATGATGCTACCTGGGCCCAGTGCTTCTAGCACTCAGATCTGATTCTGAGCTGAGCTCCAATGGGGGAACAGAGAGAAAAGGGGGTCTTTGCCCTAAAGGGCACAAGGCAGGCAATAGTCTGTCAGCTTCTCTGGCCCCTGGGGCTGCCTGGAAGAAGGATGGTCAAGAGGAATCAGAAAAGAGGAAAGGGGGACAGGATGGAGCAGGGAACTCCCCTGTGTCAGAGAGGAGAAGAGTAGGGGTAGCAGGTCCAGGGCAAGGAGATCACTTACACCCCAATTCCACTGAGAACCTGGTGCAGCAGGCTCAGGACATGAGAGATCTTAGGAGTCCCAGAAGATCAGAGGTCACAGAGGGCCTCAGGAGCAGAGAGGTACTTGGGTGAGGAGCCCTGAAGGCCCCAGAGACACATGACCTTGGTCACAGAGAGGTTCAGATAAGAGAAGGATTGGGGGGAAGTCACTAAGGGCCCTAAGGGAACACAGAGGTAGGGAGGGGTCAGAGAGGAGCCCACAGGGAGAACTAGTATCCCATGGTGCAGAAAAGAGGGCTGGGGCATAGAGACCTGTTCAGGATGGCAGAGTTGGGGTGGGGTGTCACAGAGAACCTAGAGGAAAATGGAAATCAGGACATCACTGAGATTGGAAGGGCAGGAGAAAAGCTGAGGATCACAGGAAGCCCAGGGGAAAAGGAACCAGAGTCTCACTGAGGATAGAAGGGGTGGAAAAGGAGCTGGGAACAGAGAGGCCTGCTGCGAGGGGGGCTAACTGGGCATCCCAGGGAACCTGCAGGGCATTGGGAGTCACAGGGGCCCCCACAGGGGGAGTCAAGGTCACACTAAGGATGGAAGGGAGAGAAGAGCTGGGATCACAAGGACCTTGGGTGGGTAGGAAAGCGCTGAGGTCACACAGGCTCAGTATGAGGGGGTTACCCCTCAAGGGAAGGGGAACTCAGGGTCACACTGGGAGAAGAGTGGGGGGGTCACAGGAGTCCTGGCTGGGTGGGGAAGGGGTGAGATCAGAGCCTTGATACAAGGGGCTTAATTCAAGGTCACAAGGACCCCCAAGGGGAGAGACGGTCAAGGCCACACTGACTTTGGAAGGGGGAGAAAAGTGGCGAGCCCCAGAGGCACCAGGCACACCTCTCGCAGACTCGTACGGTCCAGGCTGCGATGATCCAGGAAGAGATGCTGAAGACGAGCAGGACTGTGCCAGGACAGATGGTCATGAGCGTCTTCATGACAAAGCGGGTGTCGAAATGGATCTTGTTGAGGGCCCCGATGCTTCTGGACGAGGCGTCTGTGAAGAGCTTGCTGTGGAGGAGCATGACGCGGCCAATGAGGTAGAGGCGCAGGAACATGGGGATGGAGAGGATGACGTCCACGTCTGCGTCTGCCACCGACGTGGTGTAGGTGAAAGCCAGGCGGGCCGTCCACGTGAACAGGTACTGGCCGGGCACGGGGTGCACTGCGCACACGGCCAGCTCCAGCGCGATGAAGAAGATCCGCTCGCAGGTCATGGCGATGCGCCAGTCGTCAGCCCCATTGTCCACCATGAAGAGCTGCAGAGGAAGGAGGGGAGGAGACTCTCAGCGCTAGGGGAGAGAGGGAGGAAGGGGCTGGCCAAGCCCCCAGCGCAGGTGGGGAGAGGGAGGGGAAGAAGCATTTGGACTAAGCGCTCATCTGATCCTCACAACCACCCTGGGAGGAAGGTACTTATTATTCCCATTTTACAGTTGGGGAAACTGAGGCAGAGGTTAACTGACTTGCCCAGGGTCACACAGCTAGTTCGTATGTGAGGTTGGATTTGAACTCGGGTCTTCCAGACTCCAGGACTAGCATGTTCTGGCCACTGCCAAGTAAGGAAGGTTCCCTGAGACAAGAATGTCGGGGTCAAGAGAACCTTTATGAGGACAGCGAGGTGGCGCAGGGGATAGAGCACTGGCCCTGGATTCAGGAGGACCTGAGTTCAAATCCGGCCTCAGACACATAACACTTACTAGCTGTGTGACCCTTGGGCAAGTTACTTAACCCCATTGCCTAACCCCCCCCCCAAAAAAAACCCAAAAACAAAAGAACCTTTAGGGAACAGAAGGCTAGCGGATCTGTGAAGGTGATTGCAAGCATTTGGGAAAACAGCGTATATTACCAACGTCACTACACTACTCTCCAAGCTAAGCTGAACACTGACAAACCAATGGAATGCCTGGAGAAAGGGTGGCCGAGCACGGCCGGGATAGAACAGACAGATGCGGACCAGATACATTCTCTCTGGAGGGTGGTTCTGATCAATCTTTTTGTCACCAGGGAGGGCTCCTTCTGGTGGGGGTTGGGGAGTAACTGCCACAGGCGCCCAAAAGGCACCAACAAAATGTGTTTTGGTTTTTTTTTTTAAACTTGTTTTGTTTGTTTGGTTTTTTTGCTAGGCAATGGGGTTAAGCGACTTGCCCAGGGTCACACAGCTAGTTAAGTGTTATGTGTCTGAGGCCGGATTTGAACTCAGGTCCTCCTGAATGCAGGGCCGGTGTTCCATCCTCTGCACCACCTAGCTGCCCCTACAAAATGTGTTTTTAAAGAACGTCGTCTGTACCCCTTGACCCAGTGGCTCCTTTCCCAGGTGTCCACCCCAAGGAAACCAAAGATGGTGGGAAATGCCTTTGTACACAAACATCTCAGAAGCATCATTTTCTGTGGCAGGAAAAGAAGGGAAGCGCCAGGGGTGCCCCTGGAATCAGGAATAGTGGAGCAAAGCCAGAGAAGGGAGTGCGATGAGAAGGGATGAACATGAGGAATGCAGAGAAACACGGGAAGATTTGGAGGAAGTGACGCTGAGCAAAGCCAGCAAGACCAGAACAATCTCTGCAAGACCTGGATAACGTAAATGAAAACAGTCCTGACTCCCAGCGCCGCCTCTCCTGTTGGGAGAAAGGTGGTGGGCTACAGGTATAGAACCTGGTGTGCACTGCCAGACTTGGTCACTAGGCTGGTTTGCTTTGTTTGCCAGGGAGTGTTCTGTTAGGGAGAGGGGACACCAGGAAGTGAGAGCAGTGTGAAAAAGCATTAATAAGTGTTTTGTTTTGGTTTTTTTTTTTTTAAAGAAAATGTCAGAGTTGGGAGGGCCCTTAGAACAGATAATGTAAGAGCTAAGAGGGCCCTTAGAACACAAGATGTCAGAGCTGGGAGGGCCCTTAGAACACAGAGTGTCAGAGTTGGGAGGGCCCTTAGAATAGAGAATGTCAGAGCTGAGAGGGCCCTTAGAACAGGGAATGTAAGAGCTGAGAGAGCCCTTAGAACACAGGATGTCAGAGCTGAGAGGGCCCTTAGAACAGAGAATGTCAGAGCTGAGAGGGTCCTTAGAACAGGGAATGTAAGAGCTGAGAGGGCCCTTAGAACACAGGATGTCAGAACTGGGAGGGCCCTTAGATCACAGAATGTCAGAGCTGGGAAGTACCCCAGAACACACAATATCCGGGCTAGGAGGACCCTTAGAACAGAGAATGTGTCAATTTTCAGACCACGAACTGGCCTACACAATAATTTTGGATAGTGAAGTTCAGCGTGACAAGGGCCCTTTCTGATGTCACTGATGAGAAAGTTCACATAGATCCTTCAAATGGATCTTGGATGGAGATCGTGAAAAGTATCTGAAGGATCCTTCCTTTGACAGCCAAACCAGTTCTCTACTGAACCTTGCTGGCCATCTCCAGATCATCATGAAAAAAAGTACTGTGACCAATAATGCAGCCATACTTGTGAGCACAAAGTGAGCTTGTCACCTTATCCAGGTAACTTAGTCTGGAGAGAGAGTGGAGTTAGGAGTCCACACTTCTACAGATCTTTCTAACTGGAAGAGACAAAGCAACAAAAATCTGATAAGCAAGGCAAGACAAAAGGAAAGGACAGAAAAGCAAAGCAAAGCAAAGCAAAGCAAAGCAAAGCAAAGCAAAGCAA